ATATGAAATAATCAGAGAATTTAAGTAAAACGTTCAAACGTGACTCAAAGACACATCGTGGTCCGATTAGGGTTGAAGAAACAGTATTAACCCTTTGTACTCGGAAGTTTCTCGCTAGAAATATTTAACATTCTTTGACGAAGACGATATTCCTTGAAACTAACTCAAAGGGAAATCACAAAGCTATTTTATTCCAGTCTTTCACGTATCGAGACATTATAAAGTTTATCAAATATCAGATTTTATAGTTCCACCGAATCAAATCAAATGATGTCTCGAAAGTTTTTCGCTAGAAATATTTAACGTTTCCCGGTAATTTCCGGTAATAACATACATAAATCAAGAAGTAAAACCATTTTATTCGAATACTTCACATATCGATGCATTATACAAAGCTTAGTATTAAATATGACCTTATAATTTTACTACATCAAATGAAATGGTGACAGAGTCACCTCCCGAGTACAGAGTGAAATATAAGAAAGTAGGAACATTGAGAGATGGATCGGTTTCGTCGGCGATTATACGAATCTTGATGCTTGTATAGATTTCTGGTTCCGGTCCCGTGCATCTATCGAGGTTCCACCGTGGTGGGAAGAGTAGGAAAAAAGATGGGACAGGGGTATGTGTCGGGGGACAGAAAGAGAGAAGAAAGAACGGACGATAGAGCGAAATGGTGGCAGGTAGCAGGGAAGAAGGGAGACTCACGAGAAATCAAGTTAGAGTACTGGCACAAAAAACCTGTCCCGCATAATTACATTATCGGTCACATCTCGTTCGACTTCTGTCCGCGCGGCTCTCTTGCTTGCCTGGCCGAACGTGCTTCTGTGGGTAGAGGGGCCTGCCGTCCTCGACGAGGATACGGCAGAGTCTCCTCCGAGAACTGCAGGGGGTCTCCATGCTTGCCTTTACATTCGGTCTTTCTTTCAGCATCGACGATTGGAATTGAAAATTCGAACAAATTGTCATGTTCGTAATGGCGGAGTTAAGTCTGTACCAGATGCCCGGAGAACAACGTCGTGGGTGGGAATAATATCGAGGACGGAGGCCTAACGCTAGAACTATCGAGCAGTTAAATTGTTTTGAGATTGTCCTGTAGAAACCTCAACGGCGCAATTATCGAGACTTCATTTGGTTTGCAATTCAGTTTGTGTACTGCTAAATCAGTTTCTCTAGTACCTTTTCGGAGAAGTTATCTGTTAAAGAACTGGAGGAAATGAAGTCAGGAGTGGGTCGTTTTGACCCATCCGGTAGTTCTAGTGTTAGTGAATCGTGTTGCTATTAATAGGGTCGGTGATCATACGATAGATATGTCAAGATGAATAAAACTAAATAGGTACTATGAAGTATAGAGATCAGAGGTTAAAGGGAAAAAGTATTTTTAAGAATTTTATGTTTCAAACCATTAACACGTTGAACGCTCACGATTCCATGAAGCAACATACGTAAAATGGAAGAAATCAAATATTCAATCATTTGATTGAATTTTATTAATATTGCACCTTCATCTAGCTGAATGTCACTGTATTAGATAACATTATTTATAATATAGAAACGTTTTCAAATAATCATCGTTTCAGCGAACTATAGTAATTCAATTGGTTGTGGGTCACCGGTGATCCCCATAACATTCAAGAAATCAAAATGAAAGTATTTTATATGCAGTATACACATATATACAACATAGTAATCATTGTCAGGGATAATTAAACGGATACGATGAACGTGTATTGTCGTTTGTTGATTTCGTTTATTTTATTTATCATCTTTTTATTGACATGGGAGATGTTACACAGGCGTTGGAATGCGCGTTACCGTGATCGTTGATAAACGATCAAAACTAAAGGCGAATCGATCAAATTTGTGTTTCCTTTATGTAACGTAATGTAATGTGGTGTATGTTTCGGTACGATTGCGCTTATGGTGAAACGAACTTTCAACCAGGTTGCTAAACATTGCAGTTTCTAAGTCGTAGAAAAAATATTGAAACAGTGGACACCGTCAGAAGTATACGCACTGGAACGTGTCTCGCTTAACACCGCGTCCGTGCATTTTTTTCTGACAGTAAACGCATTGGTATCTTAATAGTAATAAGATAATGTACAATGAAAGGTTAGCACGATAGGCGC